AAATAATATTTGGGTTTTTTTAATGTGTGAAAAAAAATTTAGCAATTTATTGATTTGTTAATCATTTGAAACAATTTATTGTTGTTATTTTTTTCCTAAACTACGTTTCAGGATAGAAATTTCTATTTTTTTTACATGCAACTTTTCATGAGTAAAACGAAGTTTCCCTAAGTTTCCTTGTCGAAAACTAAAATTTAGTAAGTTTCTGATAGGGAAAAATGCAGAATTCTGGTTAGGTCCTGACGTTTTTGGTGACGCTTGTTTTTCTCAAAAATTAGTTTTAATGCAGTGTTGCCAAGTTAGTGGTTTTCCCACTAAATTTAGTAAGATTTTGGTCCTTCAGTAACATTTTTAGAGAGAGAAATATTTTAGTAGGAAATTTAGTATCTTTTTTTTTCTTTCGTGGTTTTTTTAGTGTTTTTACCTAAATGTCATTTTTTCTACATAAATTGTATCTGAAGTATTAAAAGTGTGGTCACTAAGTTTAAACTATTCAAGTGAATTTGATTGGTTATACTGATGGAGATTCAGCAAATGTTCAGACTGGGCCAATCAAAATTAGTCACACAGTTCTATAAGAAAGGATGCTCTTCTACGTGCCAAGTCCTGCACTGCTGTTTAGTACAGTTTATTTGTGAAGCTTATTTTATTAATGCAATGTCTATTCCATGTTCTTAAGTTCATAAATTTTATAAATAAATTTTAACTGGAATTAATATTTAAATAAATGAAATTCCAAAAAAATGTCTATCATTATTGTTATATATTTATTACATTGAACTATATTAAACGATTCTCTAAGTTTAAATAACTTTTGCATAATTAGTGTCAAAAATTTTAAATTTTGCGTTGAGTTAAAGATTTTTACGTTTTCTATTTATTTATTTTTATTTTTCTAGTGAAAATTAGGGAAAAAAAAATTACTTTTAGTAGAAAATATCTAGCGATCTAGGGGAAAAGCGACATAGACATCTGACAACACTGTTTAATAGTTAATAGTGAGAAGAATAACAAGAACCCTACGATTACCCTTTGAGAACTTTCAATTTAACTTTCAATTTAACCACCCCGGTGACACTTGTACCATTTTTGTGGTATTCTGGTATTTAAATATTACTTTATTAGGTTGAAAAGAAGTTCAGAAGGGAATCCACACAGATATACGTGTTCAAGGTGATAATTAATAATTCTAAGGCACTTATTATATATTAACTAATTTATTAAATTCAACGCAGGATAATGCGTGTATTTCAAATAGTGGTTCCAGACCGACTGTACAAATCAAGCGATGCGGTTAAAAGCGCGCGCATCTTCCTTCTCACTCGTTGTGAGAGAGAAGTATTTGTAGTCTTATCTCCTTCTACGCAAGAGAGAGAAACATTAAGGAACCTGCTATATCATGCTACGATTTCCACAGTACTCCCCCCTAAGTGTAACGATCAATTTCAAAATTTGGAGGAATACGAATTCAAAAATTTAATTTTACAATTTAATAATTACAGAAAAAAAATTTTTAAATTTAACATTTTAAAGAGAAAAAAACAAATAACAAAGTAAAAATTTAAAGTTTGAACTGTGAGATCGTAGATGATTTTTAAATAGAAAAAATATTGTGAAAGTGTAAATAGTACAAACAATAAAAGGCTTAAAATTATAACGTCGATCGACTAACTTCTACCATGGTAAGTCATAAATACATTTTAAATAATTAACAACATCTAACTTCGCCAAAATAAATTAATACAAATGTATAAAATTCTAAAATGAAAAGAGATATCGCTTAATTTCTAATAAAAAAAATATATCGCAGTCATATCAGTCTTTGTTTCTTTTTTATATAAACTTAAATTTGATAAAAAAAATCTTGAATATTTTACGTTTTAAAAGAGACCTTTTTTTTATTTACATAAGTGCATAGCACTGGTCTCACGTTATCAATATTTTGCGAAGTCTTTGGTGCAGAGTTTTTCTGCTCAGTCGAAGAACGATCCGCATGTGCATTGCTCGATTGTTCGTTTGCAATAATATTCTCACCGCATGCAAAAAACGCGGGTTTTAAATTTTCGACCGAAATTTGTTTCCTATTTCCATTTATTTCTACTTCAAAAACTCTGTCTGAGGTTCGTTTAATTATTTTGTGAGGCCCAGAGTATGGGCATTCTAATGATTTTTTAATCATGCCAACTTTTACAAAAACATGGGAACATGAATACAAGTCTTTAAAGAAAAATATCCTCCTCTTATGCCTATGCACCACCGGCACCGGTTTCACCATTTTCATGTGCTCCCTGAATTCTTCCAGGAAAATTTGTCTGTTCGCGGAAAAATCTTCCGGAAGAACAAATTCTCCTGGTATTGTAAGAGTGGTACCGTAAAGATATTCGGCCGGCGACGCCCCCGAATCCAAAACGTTGTTGCGTAATCCCAACATTACGGTAGATAAAGAATAAATCCACTTGGTATTGCTATGACACATAATTGCTGCTTTAAGTGTGCGATGCCAGCGTTCTATTAACCCGTTAGCCGCCGGGTGATACGGGGTAGTTCTGATTCTATTACATCCTGTCATACTCAATAGCGCGGAAAAAAGTTTCGATTCAAATTGACTACCCTGATCCGTCGAAAGAGTTTCCGGTGAGCCAAAACGAGCAATCCAATTGTCAAAGAAAGCGCGACAAACCGTCGACGCTTCTATATCTTTGAGCGGAATGGCTTCCGGCCATCGCGAAAATCTATCTATGAGTGTCAGACAATATTTGTAGCCGTCGCAAACTGGTAGGGGACCTATAATGTCCATATGGACGTGTCAGAGCCGACTATCAGGTGCGACAAAGTGAGAAGGCAAAACCGTGGTGTGTCTCGAAATTTGTGCCCGTTGGCAGTGCAAACAAGATCTACACCAGTCTTTAATATCCTTATTCATGAGTGGCCACACGTATTTTTTTCGAACCAATCTATCCGTTATCTTCCCCCCAGGGTGAGCAAAATTATGTATAAGATCGAAAATTCGCTTTCGTAGTGGACGTGGGATATACGGACGAATATTGTCTTCCGAGATATCACAAATGAGTGACACGTTGTTCCAGTCAAACATTTTCAACCTCAATGATAAATTGTTGTCCTTGGCGATTTGCTTTAACTCCTCGTCTGCAATTTGAGCTTGAGAAAGCTCGGTTAAATTTATTTCCGAAGGGAAAGTTATCGCATCGGCGCGGGATAACGCGTCAGCCACCACATTATCGATACCGGGAAGATATTCGATAACTGAGGTAAATTGAGAGAGAAATGAAAGCTGTCTTTGTTGCCTGGGAGAAGCTTTTTCACTATTTTTTTGAAAGGCATAAATTAACGGTTTGTGATCCGTACATATTTTAAAATCGTGACCTTCCAAGAAGTATCGAAAGTATTTGACTGCTTCGTAAATAATAGTTAATTCGCGGTCATAAGCGCTATATTTACTTTGGGCAGAATTGAACTTTTTCGAAAAGAATGCTAGAGGCTGCCAAGTATTATCCAACCATTGCTCAAGAGATGCCCCCATCCCTAGATCCGAAGCATCTGTTACCAGACGTGTAGGTGCGCTAGGAGATGGAAAGGCGAGTAAAGTTGCATGTGCTAATGTCTCTTTTACTGCCCTGAAAGCTTTTTCGGACTCAGGAGTCCAAGCTATTTCACGCTTGTCATTCTTCCGAGTGTCGTGTAAATATGCGTTTAAGGGTTGTTGGATATGCTCCGCATGTGATATATTTCGACGATAAAAATTAGCTACCCCAGGAAGCGTCGAAGATCATGAATGGTGCGAGGTTTACCGAATTCAGTAATGGCTCGAACTTTTTCCGGGGTAGGTCGAAAACCATCCTTGTCGATTAAATGACCCAAAAATTCAATTTGGTTTTGGCCGAAAATACATTTTTTTAAATTCAATTTGAGAGAAAATTTCTTTAAGCGGGTAAAAACGATATCGAGATGTTTCTCATGTTCCTGTACGTCCGTGGATGCTATGAGAATATCATCAAGATACACGAAAATAAAATCCAAATCTCCCAAAGTCTGGAACATATACCTCTGGAATGTTTGTCCTGCGTTCCTCAAACCAAATGGCATGTACAGAAATTCAAACAATCCAAAAGGAGTTGTAACAGCAGTCTTCGGGATATCTTCTGGAAAAACAGGAATTTGATGATATGCCGCGTACAAGTCGAGTTTTGAAAATATTTTTTTACCATTTAAATTAATCGCAAAATCATGTAGGTAAGGAATTGGAAATTTGTCCGGAATTGTTACTGTGTTTAGAAGTCTGTAATCTCCGCAAACTCTCCACTGACCGTTACTTTTTAGGACCATGTGGATGGGAGAAGCGTAAGCTGCACTAGAAGCTCGACATTTCCCAGAATCCGTCAAAGCTTTAAAGTGGGCTTTTGCCACTATCAGCTTGTCGGGCGGAAGTCGACGAGGCCGTTGGGCCACTGGTTGTCCTCTCGTCACTATGTGATGAAAAACGTTAATATTGGAGGGTGCCTCTAATTGTGCTTTGTTAAAAATTTCCGGATATTTAGCGATGATTTGATAAAAAGATGACGATTTATCGATAGAACTGATATCAGTGACAATAGCTTTTTTAAAATAACAAATGGCATTACAGCCTGAATTTAAATCTATTATTTTGCGATTTTTCACATCGACCGATAACCCGAAATGTGAAAGGAAATCTGCACCGATAATAGGATAGGGTACCGAAGCTACGCAAAAAGTCCAAGATAAATTTCGACCAAGCCCTAAATCAATGGATAAATTGCGACTTCCGTATGTATTTATTTGCGAATTGTTCGCAGCATAAATTACATAATCGGAAACGTCCAATTTTTCTTGGGAATTTACTGGAATTATTGACATGTCTGAACCGGTGTCTATTAAAAAATTAAGTCCTGTCCTACGGTCTCGAATGTGTAAGCGTTTAGAAAAAGCGAGATTATCTATTGTATCGACTTGACGCGGCCATTTTAGTTTCCCGAAGACGTACCAGCTTGCCAAACGCATGGCGGAACGCACTTAAGTGCTTTGTCTCCAAACTTGGCATGATAAAAACAAAGTTGCTGATCATTATTATTATTTCTCGGGTAATTATTTTGATTATTATACTGTTTTTTAGAATGGGTATTTCTATCGAATTTATTATTATTATTATTATTAAATTTCCGATTGTTAGACGATTTACTTCTGTTTCGACTGTTATAGTTACCGGAACGCTGGCTCGGACGAAATCTGTTTGGAGCGGTAATGGCGTCGACCTTAGCTGACAATGCTTCGATCATTTTTAACAATTCGCTGTCAGGATTATCCGAAGCAACTGCAGCAACTTGAGAAGAATCGTTTGGAACAGACGCCTCCATAAAACGATCGGCCAATAGTGCCAATTTGTCGATCTCTGTAACTTCGCTCAAAGCCAAAGCTGATCGGCAATTGCTGGGTAACTGGTCTAAGAAAACCGTCTTAATTATGTCATCGCTGCATTTACCCTGCCCGAGATTCTTAATACGGTTCAATATAAGTGAAGGTTTACCTTCCCCGGATAATTCTCCTTTTAAAAGCTGCCTTAACCGAGATTCAGACGAAACAGAATAATTAGGAATAAGCCGCTCTTTGATTTGATTATAAATATCGACCGGTGAAGGGACGCTAGTGATTACGTCGCTTATTGTCATCACTGTTTCGAAATCCAACGCCGCCAGCACTGCGCCAGCCTTGGATTTTTCCGTATTCACTCCCGCATAGTCGAATAGTAATTCAATTTCCGCAAACCAAACCCCCGGTTCCCTATGATAAAAACCTGGTAATTTTAACATTTGCCGAAATCTGTTGGTATTCCTGCGAACGGCGCCAGCCGCACCTTCGTGATCGGAACCATCATCGGTTAAAAAATCATCACTACCGACGCGCGACATTATTATCCCAGAACCACGAGCCAAGACAAAAGAGAAAAAAACAAACAATCCAGTCCAGCCAGGCGATAAGAGAACAATATCAGTAATTTAAATTGAATTCAAAATCAAGAATAAAAATATCTTCATTGAACGAAAATGAGAACCAGGAAACAAAATATTTACTGAATTTTGAGGTTAATTAAAATTATATGTGGTTATTTAACGCAAACGAGCAATGCACACGCAAATTAAACTATCACATAAGACATCAAAATAAATATTAACAACACTTTTAAAATATTGCATACGTATGTAGACGCTTTTGTAAAAAAAATAAAAAGTTCCTGGCAGTTAAATTGACACAAGGTAGCACCAAAAAAAAATGTTTATTTGTTTTCCAAAAAAAAAATAAAAGAAAGAGATAAAAGAAAATTAAAAAAAAATTTTTGATGGTGCCAAGGGAGCAGCAAAAAAAATAAATTCATTTATTTTTCATAAAAAAAATAATAGATAAATAAATTTAAAAAAGAAAAAAATATATATGTATATATATATACGTGTATTACATGAAATTTAAAAATTGTTAATTTGTGTTATAGAAAATCGCTATACCGGAGAAGGTCGGGAACCACAATACTCACAAACAACTAAAATTTCCCGACAAAATAACGAATGATGCCCTTGAAGAGTTCCGGTGTCCTTGGTTCTTAGAAATATTTGTAGAAAACTTTGACTGGAAATGCTGCATGCCTGACAAGCCTTTTGGTGCCGAATGGCTTGTTCCAAGAAAGGTAACCAGAGTTGAGGCAGGATTCGAGCGTGTAAAAAATTTTATTTAATTATTTGGAGGAAAACTGTTACTGCAAAACAACAGGAAATGGAAGCGTTACGCACCTGTTGCATGGGCTCAGAGTAGTCTGCCCATGCGCCGTTTTCCAAAGCTTTATAAAAAAAATATCCCAGCTCTCACGTCAGTGCATGCAAGTACTGTACTCCGTGTCAGGAACTGTTGAACTGCCCCAGGAGGTGACAAAAGAAAATGGCTTCCTCCGTCAAAAATAAAAATCGCCTTTGGAAAATCACGCTGACTGATCATCAGTTGTGGATTATTAAAATTGTTTGGCGTCTTGCGGTAAGAACCACTGCGAAAATTTAATAATAAGTGACCGAAGAGAAAAAAAATATCATGAGAAAAAAATATAAGAAAAAAAAACAAAAGAAGAGAAAAAAATTTCTCCTATCATTATTTTTTCTTTCTATTTTTGGAAAAAAAACATGGATTCCGGGAATAATATTGAAATTTCTATGAGGAATTGAAATAAAGGAAAGGGCAAAAGAAAATTTGCTGCCATCTCCAATGCCGTGCAATGGCGTGGCGTCGGTCGAACATGTGCTCCGAAATATCTGGTGCTGGCGACTAAGTATTTTTCACAAATTTTTGAAAATTCTTGGTAGCATAATTTTCGTAAATTTTTGCTAAATGTTTATCACTGCCACTAGCACTTTATTGTCCCGGATCACTCCGATTTTTACGGATTCTTTTTCCGACCGCGTGCGACGAATCACGTCGGGGTCACCAATGTGGGATTCTGGTATTTAAATATTACTTTATTAGGTTGAAAAGAAGTTCAGAAGGGAATCCACACAGATATACGTGTTCAAGGTGATAATTAATAATTCTAAGGCACTTATTATATATTAACTAATTTATTAAATTCAACGCAGGATAATGCGTGTATTTCAAATAGTGGTTCCAGACCGACTGTACAAATCAAGCGATGCGGTTAAAAGCGCGCGCATCTTCCTTCTCACTCGTTGTGAGAGAGAAGTATTTGTAGTCTTATCTCCTTCTACGCAAGAGAGAGAAACATTAAGGAACCTGCTATATCATGCTACGATCCCCACATTTTCTATAGGAATAAACTTGGCTGAGAACTGACCGTCGCCACCAGTGGCGCTGGCTGTGTAGTGGGAACATTTTAATGAAAATGCATGGGATAACACAGAAAAATTTACTTTTTACTTATTAAAGTTTATTTAATCGTGTTTATTTGGGCATATAATTAATTTAGAAACTTTTAAACATATTTTATAATATAATTAACTTTAGAAAAGAGTGAAGTTTTTTATTTATAACGAAAAATATGTACCAATTCCTGGCGGGAAATTCAAATAAAATAAATTTTTATTATTATAAATTATTATTTTATTAATTGCTGATATTTATTATATAATATTTTACAATATTTATAATAAATTGTTAAATACTTTTATTTGTGATATTTGATGAGTACATAATAATTACTTAATTTGAATTTCCCGCCAGGAATTGGTACATATTTTTCGTTATAAATAAAAAACTTCACTCTTTTCTAAAGTTAATTATATTATAAAATATGTTTAAAAGTTTCTAAATTAATTATATGCCCAAATAAACTTTAATAAGTAAAAACTAAATTTTTCTGTGTTAACCCATGAATTTTCATTGAAATGTTCCCACTACACAGCCAGCGCCACCGGTGGCAACGGTCAAATCTGGTCTGAGTTTCAACTCAAGAGTGTCACCGGGGTGAATTAAACTTTCAATTTTTGATTAATTATAATTTCAGGTTATATTACTATATTATTCTTTATAAAAAGTATAATTAAACTGTAAAAAGAAAATTTGTAGTTTATATAATTCATTAGAAAATATAATGAATTTAAATTATTAAGAATGTGAAAATAATTTTAAATATGTAGCAATCAATTCGAAAATATTAAAAAATATAAATATCTTATTTAATGGTAAAATCTCCTTGAACTTTGAGAAATTATTTTGTATGATGTTTTTGTAATACAAAAATTATTTTATTAAACGTTAATATATTACTAAATATTTAATGGAAAAATCTCCTTGAACTTTGAGAAATTATTTTGTATGATGTTTTTGTAATACAAAAATTATTTTTTTAAACGTTAATATATTACTAAATATTTAATGGAAAAATCTCCTTGAACTTTGAGAAATTATTTTGTATAATGTTTTTGTGATACAAAAATTATTTTATTAAACGTTAATATATTACTAAATAGGGTATAAATGCTCCAGTCATTGACACTTTCTGAGTGGTTGGCACCCTGCTTGTTTTTTTAAATAAAAAGTAGTACTTATTTCAATACTCGATTTTTGTAATAAATGTTGTAAAATTCAAGAATCGTCTGCAAAATATGCTATTTTTTTCGTATTGCTTAATATTATAGAAGACTGCCAATGACTGAGGCAATTACCTTATATTAAAGAAAAAAAATATATTTCTTAACAAAAACAATAAAATATTTTGTTTATAATTTTCTCTTTTACAAATTATTGATCGAAAAATTAAGTAAAATAGTTTTTATGCAAAAATATGTAAACATTTAAAAAGAAAAATATTTGTTCTTCTAAATCGTTGATTAGAAATGTTGTGAACCTCACTAAAGTAATTTATTAATTATTAGACTAACTATTTGATTTCAGCACATGCACAAAATAACAATATTCCTGGTAGCACAATATAAAAATCTTAATTGTAAGTTTCGTGTTAAAATGATACTGGTCCAAATTTTCTACTATTTATAATAAATAACATAACCTTAAATTATCATTCAATAAAAATGATAGTAAGTTGAAAGTAATCGAAAGACGGTCGTAGGGTTCTTGTAGGGTTCTCACTATTGGGTACTATGAATCATTTTTATAAAAAATCAAGCGTCACAAGAAACCTCTGGGCCTATTCAGAAATCCGCATTTTTCCACATCAGAATCATACAAGTAATAGGGAAATATTACAAGGCCCTTACGATTTCCCTATTTAAGTTTCTCCTCGGGTGATGATAAAAAACTAAAAATTAATATTTATTTATCATTGCTTAAACAATTTATTGTTGTTAATTTATCAATTTGTTGTACTCAGGGCTAGAAATTTCCAATTTTTTCTCAATTATTCTAATTTTTATAAGTAAACCATTTAATTTCAATAGAAATATTTAAAAGTACCTAAGTACCTAAGTACATTAAATTGATAAATTAACAACAATAAATTCAGGGTGGCCACTGTAACTTAAGAAAAAAATTCCCGGCTATTTCCCGGTTTTCCAGGTGAAAATGAATTTTTTTCCGGTTATTTTTTAGGACCTTCAAATTTTAATTTTAAGTAATTAATCCATTAGTTTGTTTTAATGATTTGTATTGTTTTTAGTTGTTTAAACATTCACAAGTATATTTAATGCATAACTTGTCGAAGAAAGTTATGAATTCCCAGTCGAAAATCATAAGTTTCCCTGAAGGGTTCACATGGCCTTCAGGTAACTGTTATGAAGGTTTCAAAAGCTTCATGGCAACTATTTATACATTAGACCTAAAATTCTGTGATATTTGCTTTCTGACTTCTTAACCGGAAGCTTTTTCTACAGCTTGTTGAATATCTGTGGACAGCTTCTAGCAAAAGGTCTACCAGTTTGCTTGGTGAATGCTTTCCTAATGCCTGGTTTAATGTGTAAGAAAGCAATTCTATTTGCTTTTCACAAGTTGCAAATTAATATGTAATTTAATTACCTTCTTTACACTTCCTGAAAACTAGAATAATTTCATTAAATTAAACTAAATCGAAAAATTATAAAAATTCTATAGTAATTTGTAAATCCGTTTTATACAATTAATAATTATTCTTTATATATTATATAAAACTTACTTTTCAAAGAAAACGTTTATTTTTAAACACTTAAATTATATACGAAAAAAATTATATATAACTTGAGCAAAATTTGGGGTTAGGAATACGAACACGGTGAAAACCTTTTATATTGAATAATGAATACAATTTCTTAAAAAAAAGACAAAATATTTAATATTTAAAAAAAAAGATTATTATTTTTATACTTGATATTTATGAATATTTTTTATAAATAATATATTCTTTATTCTTTTAGAATTTCATAATTTATGAAAATGAATTTAACAGCGTATTTTTATTTACAAATTTTGGTTGACAACAATGTAC